GGTTTGCTGGGTGCTGTCACCCTGCCCTGCGCTCCTGTCACACGGTTTCATTCCCCTGACAGACAGGGGGTTGTTACCCTTCCCGCGCAGCGCCCAGGCAGTAGCTGTACCCGTAATAAATCACAGCGGCCTTCCTTAAACCCTCCTTTCATCAGTTTCTGCAGTGAAGTTGTCACGGGATCTCTCTGCCTTGCTTGTAAAATCTGCACTTTGATTGCCTTGGTCATAAGAAACTAGAATTTATCCAAAATTTGCCGTTTTCTTCAACAGATATGAAGGTCATCACTTGTGAAATAGCGTGGCATAATAAGGAGCCTGTTTACAGCTTGGATTTCCAACATGGAGCTGATGGGAGGATCAATCGACTGGCCTCAGCAGGTGTGGACACAGCGGTTCGTGTAAGTTTCAAACCTGTTTGTTTTGGTTTTGTAGCATGTGCAGAGCATGAAATGGCTTGTTAGCCAAGGTATGGCATTATTGGCCAGTACATGATACCGGTGGTGGATGGTTTAGGGAAACAGTGTGAGACTGTACAGCTATATACAGAATGACTGCTCCCCTTGTATATTGTCCTTGAGTTCTGCTGCTGAGTGGTGAACTGTTATTTTTAAAAAAGGACCTGCACTGACTGCTGGGTGATATTCCTGAGTAGTAACTGCTAATTTAGGGCACAGTCACGTGGGTTAATGAGAAACAACTCTTTATGTTCATCAGACTCAAATTTTAGCTGCCATTTTATACGTAGTCACTCAGCAGTATGAGATCTTTCTACACCCGTTTTTACTCAGCTTCATATGCAACTCTCCTAAGTAATTTCGTGTTGGTGTTAGCAAACTTTGTTAATCAGTTGCTCATCCTTTTGAGAATCACTTGTGAAAATGTTGAATAGCACAAGCCGCAAAAGATGTGGCTGTAATACTCCCCTTTGCAAAATCAGGAAATTAAGAATAATGTGTGTGGAGACTGTCCCCATTATTCAGTGGTCTCTTGGTTTCTCTGAAAGTGCTAGCCCTAGTTGGAAAGCTTTGGGAAGCTGAGTGCACTGGCTGAACCATAAAATCATAGAATGGTTTGGGTTGGAGGGGACCTTAGAGATCATCAAGTTCCAACCCTCCTGCCATGGGCAGGGACACCCTCCACTAGACCAGGTTGCCCAAAGCCTCATCCAGCCTGGCCTTGAACACCTCCAGGGATGGGGCATCCACAGCTTCTCTGGGCAACCTGTTCCAGTGTCTCACCATCCTCACAGGAAAGAATTTCTTCCTTATATCTAGTCTAAATCTGCCCTTTTCCAGTTTAAGTCCATTAGCCCTTATCCTGTTGCTACATGCCCTTGTAAAAAGTCCCTCCCTATCTCTCCCGTAGGCCCCCTTTAAGACTGTTATAAGGTCTCCCTGGAGCCTTCTCTTCTCCAGGCTGAACAACCCCAACTCTCTCAGCCTGTCCTCACAGGGGAGGTGCTCCAGCCCTCTGACCATCTTTGTGGCTCTCCTCTGGACCCGCTCCAACAGCTCAACATTCATTCTTGCTCATATCATATTTTAAACTGGTAAATCCATTGACCTTCAGGGTATACTGCAAAACTCTTCAACTTGCTCAGGCGTCTGAAGTGAGCTAATATGTTGGTTTTTTTCTCCTGTAGTAAGCAGGTTTGTTTTCAGACTTACTATTTGTGGTTGATGGATTCATTAACAAGATACTGTAATTCCGTATTAGTGAATTGTTGTATTTATTGAATCCCTGTGAAGCTAGATGTTGTCAATGAGTGGAGAGAATGATGTCATGTATTTGATTGCATTTTTTTATAAATTATTGGAAATACTCAATAATAATATATTTCATCAGATTAAAAAAAAAATACTGCAAATAATTACAGTTTGGGGTGGGTTGACCTTGGCTGGCCACCAGGTGCCCACTACACTGCTCTATTACTCTCCCTCCTCAAGAAGACAGGGAGAAAATACAATGGAAAAGCTCATAGGTCAAGATAAGGTCAGGGACAAGGACTAATTACTGTCATGGGTCAAACAGCTTAGAGAAATATTTTAATTTATTTCACTGCCAAATAATAATAGAGTAGGATAGTGAGAAGTAAGAACAAAGCTAAAAACACCTTCCCCCCACCCCTCCCTCCCAGGCTCAACTTCACTCCTGATTTCTCTTCCTCCTCTCTGCCCGTGGTGCAGGTGATTGGAGAATGGGGGCTGTGGTCAGTTCATCACACATTGTCTCTACCGCTCCTTCCTCCTCACTTTCTTCCCCTCCTGCAGTGTGGGGTTCATCCCATGGGATCCGGTCCTTCACAAGCTTCTCCAATGTGAGTCCTTCCCACAAGCTGCAGTTCTTCATGAACTGCTCCAGTGTGGGTCCCTTCCACGGGGTGCAGTCCTTCAGGCACAGACTGCTCCAGCATGGGTCCCCCATGGGGTCACAGTTCCTATCAGAAAACCTGCTCCAGCCTGGGCTCCTCTTCACAGGCCACAGCTACTTCCGAGAGCCTGCTCCAGTGTGGGGTCTCAACAGGCTGCAGCTGCCTTCAGGGCACATCCACCTGCTCTGGTGTGGGGTCCTCCAGGGGCTGCAGGTGTATCTCTGCTCCCCCTGTTACCCTTCACGGCTGCAGGGGCACAGCTGCCTCACCATGGGCTGCGCCATGGGCTGCAGGGGAACCTCTGCTCTGGCGCCTGGAGGACCTCCTGCCCTCCTTCTGCACTGGCCTCGGTGTCTGCAGGGCTGTTTCTCCTGTTTTTTCTTACTCTTCTCTCACAGCTGCTCTGCAGTGTTTTTTATCCTTTTTTAAAATGTGTTATCACAGAGGTGCCAGTGGTGAAACAGTCTTGGAGCCGCTAGAACTGTCTCTGTCCTACATGGGGGCAGCTCTTGGTATCTTGTCACAGAAGCCACCCCTGAAGATTTCCCCCCATCCCAGCTACCAAAACCTTGCCACATAAAGCCAGTACATAGCTGTAGCTCATAGAGGGAAAATTTGTGGTGCCAGTGCAGCTTTAGCCCTGAAAGTTTCAGATAATAAGTTCAGAATGAATTGTGGATTACTGCAGTGGTGCATGTATATTACATCTTATTGCTGAAAACTGTCTGTCATGCTTTTGTAACTAGATATGGAAAGTTGAAAAAGGACCAGATGGAAAAGCAATTGTGGAATTCTTGTCCAACCTTGCCCGCCATACCAAAGCAGTAAATGTTGTGCGCTTCTCTCCGAGTGGTGAGATTCTAGCATCTGGAGGAGATGGTGAGTAATAATGTGTAATGAAGCTTATATAAAGAAGCTGTGTTTATGCATCTGGTGAGTGAAGGGGGGAAAAAACCCAAACCCAGTACAGGAACTTGCTCCTACCCCTCTAACACTTCCAGCTTTAGACTCTCATATACCCTCTGATTATAATTAGTAAATTAATGTCATGCATTTCCTATGTAACTTCTCACTGACTGTGTGTCTGAGAGGCTGTTTTCCAGATAAAAAGTAATTACTGTCCCCATTTCCCAGACATGGAGGTTGAATGGATTACCTAGTGTCATACTGAGAACCTGTGTCAGAATTTGTAAATTTAGGCTTGTCTGTCCAGGGCCACGTGGGTTCTTCAGTCACAGCAAGGACAGCATTAGATAGACGTGTGCTCTCTGAGACAGCTGAGTGTTATCAGTCTTAGTAGAAGATTTTTCAAAAGCCCGAAGTGGAGAACCATAGCCAGCTCTAATCAAAAGCAGATTGAAAGCTAAGCACTTAACCTCTCATCTTACACCTAGAAATTTTGGGGGTTTTTTTTAGATAAATAATAATAAAATTCGTTGATTAAAATCAGTAGCTCACACTGGAATGTAAAGCAGTCCAGCACTTTCCCTTCCCTACCACAAAAGAAGAACTGCTTTTCGTGTGTCTTATGTGAGATAATTGTAATGTTGAACTAAATGCAGTGCATTAACAAAACAGTGAGTGGGAAAGAAGGAAACTTCATATGATTTCTTCTACAGACGCTGTTATTTTACTGTGGAAGCTGAATGATAGCAAAGAATCGGAACCATTAGTTTTTCAGGATGAGGATGAAGCTCAGCTCAACAAGGAGAACTGGACAGTTGTTAAAACTTTAAGGTAGCTTAATATTTTATGAGTGTGTTTTCTGTTAGTGTTTTTGATTCCCCGGTGGCTTTTATCATCTGGCAGAGTCTTCAGTTTATGTTGAACTTCAATGCTGTCTAAAATTTGCTTGCTCTGATATTCATCCTTTTATTGTCTTTTAACATTTTTTTGATACAGTGACAACCTACATCTTTTAAAGCAGAAGATTTGGCATTTATGTGACATAACTGACGTGCTCTGAAATTGGTTCCTGAAATTTACAGTCACTTAAAGCTTAGCACAGAGATATATAAAGTAAATGTGAAGTTTTATTTACTAGCTTTATAGTGGAAATTTTGACCATTATTAAAGCAAAAAGCATCAGTATATTAAAAGATCCATGCAATTTTGGCAGATGGTAGCTGTGAGGTTTGACCCATCTTTTTCAACTGGTTCATTTTGTACAGCATTTGTTTCAAGTGTACAGTGGTTAATGAAATACACGCACTGTGCCTGCTAAGACTAAGTAAGTATTAGCTGATCAGCAATAAAAATTGTTTTTGATGGAGCCCTTCTAGGTGGTTCTGAATATCTTGCAATGTTTGTTCAACTGTATCTGAATCAACCTTAATTTTGAGTTTCATGTGGTTCTGCTGAGTATGCATGTTTGTTTACTGCTTTTATGAAACGCATAGATATGCAGGAAAGGTTTCTTGAATAGTGACACTTCCTAATTACTTTGGTGTAGTGTTTTATTTTCTCTTTGTACAAATCCTAGAAACTTTCATTTGCAGAACTCTATGTACAAATTCATAAATTGCTTCAAATGCAGTGTTTTAATTACTGATGAAAAAACTGTAGAAAGGGGAGGCTTATTTTGGGTAGAAGTAGGATGTGCAGTTCTAAAATGTTCTACTGCCTTCTGCATGTGTAAGTGTTTTTAAAAGCTAAGAGTCATATTGTTCATTTTATTTCAATTATACTTTATTTGCTTCTGATTTTTTTTTTGAATAAAAATGTACAAAACTAATTTTTACATGTAGCTGTTAACTTTTAAATTAATAATTTCTCTTCTGACTTCTAGAGGCCACTTAGAAGATGTGTATGATATTTGTTGGACGTCAGATGGAAATTACATGGCATCTGCTTCTGTAGATAACACAGCTATAATGTGGGATGTCAATAAAGGTAAATGCTATGTTTGTCATTTGCAGCTCCAATCCTGATGGAAGTGTCTCATGGTACTTCCCAAAAGAGTTGAAAGCATCTCTTTTCGTGAGAGAACTTAATTGCTAGACTTCTGGAATTGTGAGGCAGATAGACCAGCATATAAAGATACCCTCAGGCCAGCAAAATTTGCACATAAGTAGTCTCTTCACATTAGAGTATTCAGAAAGTAAACTTAATGTTTTTTTCCTCCCAAACTCCTTGCACAAGAAGCTTGTGTATTACTTACTCCACCCCACATGCAAACAAACAAAGCTTGACTGGTAGCAGGTAACTAACTACCTAGGTTAAAAATGGGAAGCGAGTATAGGATGCAGGCTTTGTTTTGCAAGGTGTGACACGTGCAGGCTCCATTCAGCAAAATACTTCTACTCGTGCTCATTGCACTGCAGTGGGATTGCTCGTATTCTCCAAGAAAGGCCCATCTATAGAAGTTCTGGTAGTAACCAGCTAGCTTAGGTTGCTTCACAGTGGCTTAATGTTTTCTTATTAGCAGTGTAATCATTACTACCACTTTAAATTGAATGTGGAAATACTTAACTTTCTCTAAAGTTAATCTTTTATCTCACATTTTTCATATTTAGTGTATAGTTAAGAAATATAAAGTAGAATCTGGGTTAATTGTCCAGTGCACACACACATGAAAATACGAGTGTTCTACTGCTGACATTTTTTGTGTTCTTGGTTTGGGTGCTTAATGTCTCTCACATCCAAAGTGTCAAATATACTTCTTTCCAAAAGTCTTTACCATAAATACATGAATGTTCAATTAAGAGTGTCTGTGCTCAGAGCATAAGTATGTGTAGGCGCATTGTGACCAAATGTCTCTTGCATCTTGGACTGCTTGTAACAACTCTAAAGGGACATATCTATTAGACTTGTTATTAAAAAAAGCTGGATGGCCTCTTAAGCTGATATGTCACTTCTATGTAATGTTTTCCATTCTCGCTGCTTTCCTTTAGCATGCAGTTAATGCCATGGAAGGCATTTTATGTCTTCTAGGCAGAGAGACAACTACTGAGTTGGAAGTAAGAACCCGTTACTGGAAAACGTAGGCTTTGTCATTGAAGTTGTAGGTGCATTGAAAGAAAGAGTTTCAAGGTTAACTTCCAGTAATACCCAGGTTAAAAGATTGAGTATTTTTTTTAAAAAATGAGTGGAAGGAAATAATTAGTGAAAATCCATCGGTCTATTTAGTACAAAGAGAACACCAGTGGCTTAAGAAGGCCTTGAGGTACAAACTGTTGGCAACTTATAGGGTATCCTGTAGAGATGCCATTACATGTTTCCTCTGTTCTTGCATTCTGGCATCTGTTGTTGGCCGCTGTCTGAGACAGAATACTGCAACAGAAGGACTTTTGGTGTTACGCAGCATGGCCTCAACCCTGTTTGTAATCTTTTTGCAGAACTATTGTGTTTGAAGCTTGTCAGCTTGTAGCATTTCTTCGCAACAAAGCAACACTATTCTAATAGAAGAAAAACCTCTGTCCCTGGTATTGAAAACAAAACTGTTTGATGAGATTATGTGTAACTACCTCATCACAATGGTTTGGATCTGAGGCATTCAACAGTGGAACATCAGTGGGGTCAGGGAGCTGATTGATGCCTTTGAGACATCTTCATGACAGAGCAAGCTGTGGAAGAACATGAGTTAGCCCTGCTGTAGAATTGTTTCTGAAAGCTGCCCAGGTGTAGGCATTAGTCAGCATGTGTGTAGTATATTTTTTTTCACTGCCTGGTCAGCAGAGTAGGTGAGTTTATAGAGCCTTAGATGCGGGAGCCTGGCTATCTAACCCCAGCTGATAGTTATGTTTTAGCGCTGGAATTTCTGGCTCAGTGTTCGGCCAAATTCAGCTAGCTGTTGAACAGCCTGAAGAAAGTTTTCTAAATCACAAAGGTTTTTATACTTCTGATTTTGAAACATCTTGCATGTTTAATGCCTAAATAAACCAAGCTGCTTAACTGAGTTAGTTTGTAGAGAACAAGCCATAAATTGGCATGTCACAGTTTACTGTACTTGTAAAGATTCTAGAAATAAAGCAACTATTTCCGATATTCTTATCAGGTACCATCAAGTTAACAGTTAGTGTGTTTTTAAAATTATTTTGAAATGTTTTGTCTTATTTCTGAAATGAAGAAATGTTTTAAAACACATTTGAATTTAGAATCTGGAAACTGTTTGTAATTTCAGGGCAGAAGGTTTCAATATTAAATGAACACAAGAGTTATGTCCAAGGAATAACCTGGGATCCTCTAGGCCAGTACATTGCAACTCTGAGTTGTGATAGGTGAGCTGTTGGTCTGTGTTTTACCTTAGTGTTCTTTCTTACTTGAGGATGAATTGAAAGCAAGTGCATGGGATAAATGTGACTTTTATTTTTTTTTCAGATTGTTCTTTAAAACGGTTGATGTGAAATTAAAATGATACTTCAGTTAATCTTTTGCTTGTGGTACATGATTCCTGAAGTTTGAGTGTCCTCTCTAAGCAGCAGATAAGCTTACATAAACTTGTGTGGAAATTTTTCTTCAGGAAATAAGTTTTCATGGTGTTGGTCATTAGAGAAACTAAATACATCTTAAGAAAGTGCTGCATTCTCTGGTTGTTAAAGAGGTAATAAGTTCATCCTTGTTGTTTTACAGAAAGATATAAACAGATTAAAAAAATCAGTTAAAATGTTTTTTCACTGATATCTTTCTTTTGCCCTCTTGCTCCCTCCATCACTAACAGTTTTGTAAGTGATGTCATTGGAAAAGCAAAACACACACACTTCATAAACTTGTCCCTTGTCAGAACTTTGAGTTGAGCTTAAACTGTTTAGGGCATGTGTGCTGCTCTGAAGGGTTTGCAGCTGGCTAATAAATGCATGTCATCTGGCACCCACTGCAAAGAAAATTGCTCTAATAGTGGAAAAGTATTTTTGATTTAAGATTTGCAATAGGCTCAGAAAAATGGTAAGTTAATGGTGACTAGGTTGTTATGAGCCTCTGCCTTCTGATAATCAGTTGTATGACATTTGTGTGCCTTTATTAAAATGAACAGCAGTGAAATAGAGTGATGCACAAGTTTTTCTTGGAGTGAAGTCGCAAGCGAGGGCATGAACTAATCTGAAGAGGGAAAATCTCCCACCCCCTCAAGTTTCAGACACTTCTCTGCAAGGTTAGTTAATAGCATTGGCTCAGCAGGAGTCTAACAGGAGCCAGGCCAGTTACCAGGGCTGGGCACTCACCAGCCTGGAGTTGGGAGACCTCTTCCCTCTTTTGGCAGACCAGCTTAGCTGTGCGACATCCAGAGCCAGTAGTTCCACAGCTGTCTCGAGCTGTCTGCCACAGCCTTGCCTTCTATTTTCTCTTCCTAGCTCTGTCCAGGACTCTTTGTGGAGCTGTTTCAGCCCATTAAATCAGCAAAAAGCTATCTGGTTTTTGTGTTACATTGGTTTTCTGCCAGCCTAACAAGCCAACATAACTCACTGAAGGCCAGAGCTGGCAGAAAAGGAGGGAACGGTGGGACGAGCAGTTGGATTTGCCTAGACTACCTGCTGCTTCAGTGAGATGAAGTCAGGGGAGTTCCAACATTTTGTACAGAGATGTACGCCAGTTTTCACTTATTCCAAAGGAAACTGAAGCATAGAGACGTAGCTAATTGTCTTTGAGGTGAGTTCCCACTCCACAGGAGCATACTGGCTACCTGGCACAGGTGGGAATGGCATGGCTGTTCATTGTCCACTAATTCCCTCATTCCTCCATGAATTCATATGAAGGTACTTTAGAAACCTTATTGAGTCAAATAATTGTTAGTGATTCATTGGTTATTTAGCCTTCGAAACACGTCCACCCAGTGGTGTTTCATGAACAGAGTTATAATTAATGTACAGTTGTCATTTATATTTGGCAGTCCTGACTGAGAAGTGAGGTGCTGTAGTGCTCTGTGAAACTTGGGGTGAAAGGAAGCTAACTTCAGCTAACTGTCCTCTCTGCCATGTAGGGTCCTGCGGGTATACAACACACAAACCAAGCGTGTGGCATTCAATGTTACCAAGATGCCATCTGGATCAGGAGCTGAAGGAGAGGTACATTGTTCTACTAGTAATGGTATTGGAGAATGCACTGGATGCTATTTTATAGGAGTTGTTCTGTTCCATAAAACCAAAGGGGCAAGTGTTTTCCATTCAGGTAATCCATGTATCAGGTACTTTTGTCCCTATCTCACCTTTGCATTTTGTAAATAGAGACCACTTCAGGTTTCCTTGAGCATTACAGAAATGACTGAGAAAGAACACTTGCAAGCTCAGCTGATTAAAGTAGTAACACAATGTCTGTGATTGTAAACGTTAAAAATAGCGTGGAATAAATAGTGTGCATAGTGAATACTTAAGAGGAAGAATTCCAACATGTCTGTCAGTATCTGTAAGTTTATTAATGGATAATATACAGCAATGTTTTAAGTCTGCAGCCTGAAATTTTCAAAAAAGTAGTCTGATTTTTAGGAAAAATATGAATTAGGAAAAATTTAGGAAATTCTCTGTAGCCCTAAGATGGAAAACAAAGAGCTTTTTTCCCCCAAACAGCTCTAAGTGATAGTAAAATAACAGCTGCAAGCTTGCTATAACATTTTTAATTCCTTCTATTCCTTTTCTTTTTTTTGTGAAAACATTTGTAACAGTTTCATATAGACTAAAGAACAGGCCTGAGAGAGGGTGTTCTGCCATTATAGAAGTTCTCTTTAAACCTCCAATTCTAGACTTAAAATTAAATGCCCAAGGAACAGGCTTTTACATTGACTGTTAAATAATGTTCTCTGGGTTATTACTGTTTTTTGATTACTGGTCTAATGTGACTGCTCTTGGAGTGTTTTGATTAGTAGCTGCAGAGGGATCAAGGACTATTTTTCTTAGCTGTGAAGAATTTATAGCACAGCAGAAAGTGATTTTGAAGGAGCCATGTTTTTTAAAACATTTATCTTTTATTTTAAAAGTTCCATCAGGTTGGGTTGTACAACTGGATGGTTTTTCTCCCTTGAATTCCATCTGACACGTTCCTGGCACTTTACACAATCATATTTTCAATGTTACAGGCTAGGAGCTATCGGATGTTTCATGATGACAGCATGAAGTCATTTTTCCGCAGGCTCAGTTTTACTCCTGATGGCTCCTATTTACTCACTCCAGGTATGTGAGAACATGTACTATAACTTGCATTGTATCTATTATTCTCTAGTTTGAATGTGGATCAAGATTGCTTTCCAACTGCTAGGGGGTGCTTATTTATCTTAATTATGCCATTCCTCATTCTTCCTATTGAAGAAAATAAGAAACTCTACAGTACTCTTCCATTATCAGTCTAGAACATCAACTTTCTCCTGTGGTAAAAATAATATTTATGGCATTTTTCTGAACTGAAACGTGTAAATTGCAACAGTACAGCTCTGTTAAAATAGAAATGAAGAATAATGAGTGGTTTCTTTTGACTGGTCTCTCTTTGTATCCTTTAAGAACATTCTGCAGCCATAGTAAAAATAACACTGCAAGGAGGGGATCAGTTTGCCCCTGTAAGTGCTGCTTTTATAGATGTCTGGCAACATCAAAAAGAAGCTTTGAGGGGGAAGTATATAAGGGAAACAAAAACAGCACTAAATAAATATTTGGGATGCCTTTTCAAGTTGTGTTAAGGTTGCACAGCTCTTGCCCAACTGACAAGCCTAATTCCTGAGAAGCAGAATTTTTATGGACATAAAGTGTGTACTCAGTGCCTTTTTGGGTTGATGAGTAATGTTTTAACCTTTATTTTTGCAGCTGGCTGTGTTGAATCAGGAGAAAATGTAACAAACACCACATATGTTTTCTCCAGAAACAATCTTAAAAGGTAGAATTTAATAAGATCAAAATATCTTTTTATTAAAACAACAACAACAAAAAAGAAATGCTGTTTTTTGAAATACTGATTCTTTATAAAAGGCCTGTGGGTCACCTGCCATGTCCTGGAAAGGCAACCCTTGCTGTTCGCTGCTGCCCAGTCTACTTTGAGTTGAGACGCGCCTTTAATAAAGGTACTGTAAATCCTTCAGGGAGTATGATTTTACAGCAAATATGTGAAAAAGTTAATGTGTCTGTTTACTACTTTATGCCCTAGCCTTTTAACATTCCGTTAAGATAGTGTTGTACCACATCTTAGAAGCTGTTTCCTGATTCTAAGACCCTGAATTCACCTTAAGTAACTTGTGAGTAGCTTTTGATATAGTGGATAAATGTTCTTACTTGGCCTCTTAGGCTACAGAAACACTGTTTAATATTTTTCTTTAGCTTTTAACCATTTTGTGTGAGTAAAAGTAAATAACTTGGCTTAGCACTAAAGGAGCGACCCAGTGAAATATTTTCTGTTCGTCTCAACTACCCACATCACAGAAGCACCAGGGAGTTGGTGTAGTTTGCAACAACCATTGCTGTTTATTCAAGGAAGCAGTCCTGGTGTTACAGGCCAGAACAGGAGTTCTGAGGTGGGGAAAGGATTGTATGAAGTTGCATGAGGACTTACCTGGAGACTGAAATCCAGCCTTATTGTGAACCGAGTGGGTCAAGGAGTGTTTATTTTTTAACAAGACTGGTCTTACTCTGGTGGAAAGGCAGAGCTTTGCTCCTTTCTTTAGAGGGTCAGTTTGTAGTATTCCTTACAGGATTTACAGGTTACCTGTTGTGTTCTGTATTTTCATCATAATCATTATATCCATTGTAATGGTGTGTTGCAAAGTAAGGATATGAATGTCTACTGTTGGTCTCTGTAGCTCTTCTAAACTCAGTGTTTAGTTTCTGCAACATACACCCAGAAAAACGAAAGTCTGTGTTAGTCTAAAAATCTACAGATGCGAGTACCTTACATTATGTTAATGACCTGTCTGTTTCAGTGCATAGCTTCCATAATCATTGCAGAGCTGAATGGGAGCTCTGTATACTGGGAATTTCTGAAAGCAGCTAGCTAGCTAGCTAGCATAGCATTTTTCAAAAGCATAAAAACTCAGATACCACTAATTTGGGGGCGCCACAGTGTAGAATGAAAGGAGAGGAAAAAAGCTTCCAGTGGAAGATGGAATAATCTGCCCTTACAAAGAACTAATTTTGCAGTGATAAGACTAGCTAGGAGCTGAACTCAGGATAACACAAATAGAGCTAAATCCGTTGTTTTGACCAAGTCATACAGAATATAGTGTGGTGGTGCAAATTTGTCGTGACCTTGATTTACACTATATCCTAAGGTATGTTTATTTGGACATATGTACTAAAATGCATGTGCTGAAAAATTTCAGCTGGAAAATATGACAAACTTTGCAAAGAAAAATAATAGCAATCCAGATGGACAAAGCTTCTGTCAATTTCTCTGTCTTAGGCTAAGACAAGAAGGAAAACTTCAGGCAACAGAAATGTTAGTGCTCGACATTAAATTTCACATTTTATAGAAGTGCTGTCTTCTCAGCCATTGTCTTGATACTGATTAATAATGAAATCTTTATTTAGATTCATGACTAAGCTAGTGCAGTTACTACCTTGCAATGAATACAAGAGAGAATTCTCAATGTCTTAATTCCTTTGCATTCTAGATGAAATCAGTCAGAAATCAGCTCCTGCTCTATTTAATCTGCCCTATCGATTGGTGTTTGCTGTTGCTTCAGAAGATTCTGTGCTTTTTTATGATACTGAGCAGTCCTTCCCCTTTGGTTATGTTTCTAACATACATTATCACACCCTGAGTGACATTTCATGGTAGGTAATTGTTACAGTTTTGAGATTTGTTGTGGTGGAAATGTCCTTTTTACATGCTGAAGTTCTGCATGTCTTGTGTCTTGCTTTGTTTTTGTGTTTTGTTTATGACGCACGTAGTCACTGTCATTGCAGTGGCTGAACATTAAGCCACCTCTTTTTTGTGTTGCGAACTGGAGAATTATAATTCTTTTATCGGTTGAGAAACAAGGTGCAAGCACCCTGAGGACAAGCAGATGAAAGTTTTTATGAAACCTAATGTACTGGGTGCCCATGGAAAGTATTCGTTGTTCAGGCAGTGTAAGTAGTAATAATGAAGTTGTTCAGAGCTTTTGAAAATCATCTCACTGAGTTCAGGTGTCTGTATCCTGGCCAAATTCTGCTCTATTTGCACAATTCTGCTTAGTGATTCTTCATGTATAGGATGAAGTAATTTGTCTCACTTGATGCGGGGAGTGGGGAGCTTGATGTGGGGAGCTCAGAACTGGAGCTGCAAATTAAGCCCAAATCTTGAAATCAGGATACACCCCTCTGCTTGACAAGGCTTCTTCTCTCATGCCTTTCTAGCCAGTATACCTGAGCTGAGGACCACATGGAGGCATGTTTTTCAGAAGTTATAATTTGTAGTCAGACACTGTGAAAACCATTGTGTGCCAGCAGAAGGGAGTGGAAGAGAGTAGAAAGTCAAGTTAAGTGTTAGACATTACTTGGTGAAATGAGCACAGAGGGCCCATTCAGGTGAGCACCACGGTGATTCTGAGCATTGCTTCTACTTAGGAGAAGGAGCACAGCCAAAGAGCTTGAACTGCTCTGCTGGTCTAAATGAGGAGAGTTCAGTGATATTTCAGAAACTGTGGGTGAACTTGTATATCTTCAATTGAACCATACTTCATGCCAGCTCAAATGCTTGCATGAATATTAGAGGTGATCACAGACAATACCAGAGAGATTAAATCAGATGTGAAAGCTAGAATTTAAGATCTTCTGTTCATTTGGAGTGGTTGTCTTTCACTTGCCTGCACTTTTATTTAAATGTATACATGTACTTGGGGAAGGGAGGGGGAAAAGACAGGTACAGCATGTGTTACAGATGGAGGGGTGAGAGTTGAAGAAAAGTTCTGACCTTTCTTTGTAATGGAAAAAAATAAATCACAATTAGGTCCAGCGATGGAGCCTTTCTTGCTATTTCTTCCACGGATGGATACTGTTCATTTGTTACCTTTGAGAAGGATGAACTTGGAATACCATTGAAGGAGAAGCCACAGATAAATGTCAGGACTTCTGGTACAACAGAGAAGAAAGTGAAAAAGAGCCAGTCACACAAAGTAATTTCCCCAGGCTCTAGGCTGACTGAGGGGACTCCTCCCAGTAGGGCCACTGATCCCAGCACTCCCACCCTGCAACCTAGAACACCCACAGCTGCTGGTAAAGACTTGCCTTCCACACCTGTTGGCATAAAAAATGTTCCAGTCTCATCCTCAGACGAGAGGAAAACTAGCCAGCCAGCCAGCCAGAGCACTAAAGTAAACCAGCCCAGAAGGATTACTCTCAACACTTTACAAGCATGGAGCAAGACGCCAAGGTGAGATTTATATTGCTGTTTCCAGTCATAAATACAAAGGCCAAGACAAGCTGTGCTTGTACTACATTTAAAGGATTGGGACTTAGACATAAATTCCCAGCCCTGTGTCTTGTTGGTAGCTGTCTTGACATGGAACTTCCTGTTCCAGTTGTACTGCCACTGAAAGGTCAAAATGTCTCCTGAATCCTAAATGTACAGCTTTGATATTTCTGTCTGAAATGTGAGGCAGTAGCAAAGTTAACCTGACTGTTATGCCTCGTCCATATGGCATTAACAGGTGTCTGTTTTCAGGTCCCATTTTCTGTACAAAGATGGTACCTGAAGCCTTCAGCTGACAAGAGCTATTTAAAGACTCTTCTGACAAGGAATATTTTAGGAAGAGTGTAAGTCTAGACAGGCCCTCAGTGTGCACAGTCATAGGTGTGGGACTTAATGCATTGATTGGGGTTATTTCCTAAGGTGAAGATCCAGGTTTTTAGAAATTGCCTGTAATCCCAGTGTTGATTGTCAAACAGCATGCAATATAAGATCTTGAGCTAGTGTGTAACAGTAAGGAGACAGCTGTGCAATTAGAGATCTAGACCTTGTCAGCAAATCAAGCCTATTTTATAATTAAAGGAGATTATTATAACTTCTCATAGGAATGTTTTAATTAGTAGGTGGCTAGGGAGGAAGGTGTGAATGAGAAAGCAGGATAGTGGTGTCCTGGGTCCAGCTGGGATAGG